ACTTTCTACACTTTCCACCTTAAAAAAAATATATATGTATATTTTCTTAAATGCCTTTTCACTTTAAACGCAAGAGGTGTTACCTGTATGCTACGAAATTATACTAGGCCTACTTGTGTTATTAGATTACGTCACTTTATGATATAGTTTTACCGTAAGTTACCCCAGAATGCTTTGCATAACTTCTATAACCTAATTTCTACTACTTACATCATAAAACCAGGCATATGAAACCTTAACTACATATATATATACATCACATATATATATCACATGCCTCAAATCACCATAAAAAGATAAAGAAAAAACAAACAGCTTACACACCAATTATCAAAACCGGTGTTACTCCATGCACAATTACCTACAAACGTCAACACACCTGTATCACACTTGCTTGCCACCACAACACATATATGACCATATTTTTTTTCTAATTAGAATGGGAAATGAGAAGAGAGAGAGATGCAAATTAAAAATCTACCATCTGAACACACAGGACCTCGGCGTTAGAAGTTCCCGTAGACGGAATGAGCGAGGAAGTCTTGTTTTTTTTCTTTCTTTCTTTCTTTCTTTCTTTTCTTTAGGGAGGGGAGAGGGAATGGGAGAGGGAGAGGGAGAAGAGAGAGAGAGAGAGAGGAGGGAAAAGGAGAGGGAGTGGGAGAGTGAGAGAGAGGAAGAGGGGGAGAGACAGATTGACAGTGAGATTGAGAGAGAGAGAGACAGAGAGAGAGAGAGAGAGAGAGAGAGAGAGAGAGAGAGAGAGAGAGAGAGAGAGAGAGAGAGAGAGAGAGAGAGAGAGAGAGAGAAAGAGAGAGAAAGAGAGAGAAAGAGAGAGAGAAAGAGAGAGAGAGAGAGAGAGAGAGAGAGAGAGAGAGAGAGAGAGAGAGAGAGAGAGAGAGAGAGAGAGAGAGAGAGAGAGAGAGAGAGAGAGAGAGAGACTGAGAGAGAAAGTAAGGAGAAAGAAAAAAATAGAGAAATGAGAGAGAGGAAAAAAAATAGTGAAAGGATAGGGGAAGATGGAGACGGAGAGAGGGACGGAGAGGCAAAGAGATGGAGGGAGAGAGAGGGAGAGAGACGGAGGAGAGGATACGAACCCAAGAGTATCCTAAACCCTCTCATCCCAACATGGCGTCAGCGGGATGTGCCTCCCCGTAGACGAGGAACGTGACCCGTGAATAGGCCAGCTGGATAACAATCAAAGTCGGATTTTTTGATGGATTAACTATACGACGATTCACGTAATTTCTGATGGACTATTCAGAGGAAGATTTTTCGAAAATTTTAACGGATTAGTTATATATATTTTTTCTTTTTTTTGTCCTAAACATGCATTTACCTATCAGACGTCACTTTTAGTTTCCGTCTTTCCTTCAACCTATCCGCTTCATATTACTTATATAAAACTCTATAAAACACACACACACACACACACACACACACACACACACACACACACACACACACACACACACGCACGCACACACACGCAACACACACACACACAACCCCCCTCGCCATACAAACACATCACTCACCAAACACACATACCCCTACCCCTACCCCTACACACCTAACCCCCCCCCCCGAACAAGCACACGATGTCCGCGAGTCAACAATCAGAACGTCCGGACGAAGCCTTATTCCGCGTTTATAAGCTGAAGTATCCCCTTTTTAGTGCCCACTAACGGCGCGGATATGAGACTCCGTCGGCCCATAACAAACACGGGCGGATCGCCAATTACGCTTCTCTTTATCTTCCCTTTTTTCCTCAACAAATGTCTTTCATTTTGCAGTATTCTTTTTTTTTTTTTTTTTTTTTTTTTGGGGGGGGGGAGGGGTCGTCGTCGTCTTTAGGGCATCGTTCGGAGCGATAGTCGTAGTAGCCTAATTACCGTCGGACATTATGTATTGAAGATCCAATTTGGTGCAGGACAGCCATTTCCCGGGGTTTTAAGACGCATTATGTATCATGGATAACGGCGATGCATCCTGCTTCCCACCTTCTCTCTCCCTCCCTCCTCCTCCTCCTACTCCTCTCTCTCTCTCTCTCTCTCTCTCTCTCTCTCTCTCTCTCTCTCTCTCTCTCTCTCTCTCTCTCTCTCTCTCTCTCTCTCCCTCCCTGTTTGTCTGCCTATGTCTGTTTATCTGTCTGTCTGTCTGTCTGTCGTCTGTCTGTCTGCCTGTCTGCCTCCTACTCTTTATTCTATTGTGTTTATATTTCCTCTCTCCCCTCTCACCTCATCTTCTCTCCTCCTCCTCTCCCTTCCTCTCCCTCTTTGCTCTCTTCTCCCTAAGAGGAGGAGCGGCCGAATGCACACAGCCAGACGCAGAACAAAGCCACCGAGGCATGGGAGATGAGAATGAGGGGAAAGGAAGGGAAGAGATAAAAACAAGAGAAGGAAAGGAAGAAATATGGAAGAGGGGAACGAAGGGGGGAAATGGGGGAGGGAGAGAGAGGGGAAATGAGGGCGCGTATACAAGGTGACACAGGTGGTACTGCTGGAGAACTTTGTGAACATATCATTGAACGGCGTAATAAAAAGGGGGAGGGGAGGAGGAGGC